GTGTGGCTCATTCTGTTCCAAATGGACTGTACTATCGGCACTTAAAATCTTCAAGTACCCTGCAGTTAATACAAATAAAATTTAATAAAAATCAGAACCTCCACTTCTTCAGTTTCAACGTTGTCTTGGATATGTTTATAAGTCGAAATTGTACGACTGAACTGTTCGCTACAATTGTAGATGGTGGTGTAGTTAGAAATCTGTGTACTATTGGCGATGCTAATTTGAGTATTATTGGAGGAATGTGCCACAAATCAAGTGAATGTTAATTATACTAAAATAGCAATTCATATTTGACTTCACAGACTGCATACCAGTTTATTACAAGATGCTGATGTGAACAGGGTTTTTTTTCTTAAGAGAAAGGGGTCGCTTCTCATCGAAATTGGCTACAAAACAAGTACAAAGCTGGACGAGTTCAGATGGTAGTTTTCCTCAATGCCTTCCTACGCTGAAGAGGTTAAAATCCCATAAAAATGGAGAGAGTACCACTCAAATAACAACCAAACCAACTAAACGTGAGGTAGCTACAAAAAAAGGTACTACTCCATAAACTGGTGACTGGGGCCGGATATGCCATATAACCAGTGCCAGATGCTCCGCTGTTCGATTTTCGTCCGTCGGCGCGCATGACGTCACTCTGAGAGTGATTCTAATTTGGGTTGATATGGGTAACGTGCATATTTTCACCTACAGACCATATGAAGTGACGTTGGATTCATCTGAGCGGCGCGAGTGTCACTGGGTACATTAAAATTGTATACAAAACAAAATGGTAGATTTTAATAAAAGATTTTAACCTTGTAATTCGTATTTCATAGGCTACAGTGCAAACGGCTTGACATATTTTCACATATGAGGTGTTGTTGGATTCGTCTTAGCGGTGCGGGTGACGCAAGCTACATTAAAATTTTATACAAAACAAAATGGCAAACATTTTAACATTGTAATTCCTATTTCACAGGCTATACCTTAAAGGGCTTACTGTAAAAATAAGATAACTCATAACATTTTTCTACATTACCTATATTTTAGTATGTTGTGTGGAGCAGGACTAACATGCTCATGACGTTAATACTGCACTACATTGATCCTTGTTTCACAGAACATCCTAAGTAGTTGTAAGTGTGAAAATGTACGCAGCAACTCGAGAAGTAGAAAAATGGAGTTATTTTCTTTTTGCAGTAAGCTGGCGGTATAACAATCAATGGAAATGACTTAGTCTAAGCAACTGGTTTTCTCCATTTGCTTTTACGATTTTTCTGGTCTTTTAAACTTTTATTCAGTTCTTTGATCTGGAAGAACATCCTTGACATGAAAAATAGTTTTTTAGCTTCTTCAGGGCAGTCAGTGTTGCTGCTCTTCAACAGAAGTTCGCCTATAAAATTTTGCTTTTCTGTCACTATTCCTTCCCCACTGAACGTAGTAAACACACCTTGTTCAGCTTCTCAATTTGATTCATGGAAGCTGTGGAAGGTTTTGATAATCCACCCTCACTAAGATGGTCTATCCAGGAATAAGTTTCATTTGAGGAACTTTTCAACCTCTCATCCTGCAACTTATGCAGCCGGCCAAATTTTCCAGCCCGTCATACTCGAGCTCAACTATTTCTTTGCCTCCTTATAGTCAGTTGATACTTCAGGTGCATTCAGTTTATTCGTTAATGATGCGGTTAGTAGAACTTTGTGATCAGAATCGAGATCCTCGCAAAGTAAAGTAAATAACCGACTGTTCAAAGCGCTGCTCTTGATGTAGTTTACAATCCTGATAGCCCAGTCCAAAGTCTGGTGTAATTTCTGTGGCAATGTCTTGGAAGCCAAAGCTAGACGATGAATAACACAACGTGTACTAACCATTGTGGGATTTTTTTCCTTGAGCTTTTTAGCTAAGCCCGATCGTACACCTATCATTGCTGGTGCGCCATCTGTACAAAGTCCAATGAGTTTCTTCCAATCCAAATATTTTTTTTTCAAGATAACAATTTATTAACTGTGCACAATTAACGATGTCGGTGGATTCATCGCAACTAATGGCAAAAAATGGAGATAATTTACTTTCTTAATTATTTGTGACTTTATGTCTGCTGCAATGTGATCGATTCTAGGTTTGACTGTGTTAATCGAAAGAGAAATAGACTTCATTTGCAATACACCTGTGAGAAGAAAAAACTCTTTCGTCTTCAAAACCAGAGTAGGATGTTGTTGCTGCAAATGCCTTTCAAGGCGATTGGGCCTCATGGTATCATTACTTAAAACTTTGATATAATATCACACACTGAGGCAATTGTGACTCGTCTTTTTCTACGAAGGTAAATAGAAACTTAACGTAATCTTCGGAAAACTTTCTTTTTTTCGCTGCCATTTTGCACCTATAACAATAAAACAAATAAGTAATAAATAAATAATCAGAATACCTACATGTAATTACTAATTATATGCCCATTATTTTATCTTAATAACGTAATATACTCAACAGTATATTGGTAATTTTAAATACATTTGGAATTAATACTAGGTACTTAAAGTTCGTGGTTTGAAAATTATTTCGCCACGTTGGTTTGATTGTGATGTGGTAAAAAATTCCCAATGCCCGATCTATGAACGAATCTCCACTCAATCAACAATTTAGTAAATTGAATAAAAATGGTAACTGAAGTTTGTAAATACACAAACTTACCTTTTAACAGTGAGGCACAACAATTTGACACACTCAAACAGATTTCTCGACAAAACATGTACATCGAAACGTCAAATTTTTCGCAAGTTTGTGGGAATGAATGTCACAGATACTCATCCGCGTCTGGTAGGTACACAATAATTGTTTTCTAAGTGATGAATGTTAAGCGGAGCGCGGCGGGGGTGCGCGCAGATTTCATGATGTAATTGTCGAAACTTGTATAAACTGCAATTGACAACGCCGGGTTTTGAAACAGCGGTTGTCAGAATAAGTGAATATGATATTTAATTTCTAATTTTATGCTTGTAAATTGAACATTACATTGTAATGTTATTTCTTAATGATGTTTGTTTATTTTTTTTTTGCTTTTTCTTCATAAAATCCAAACGCTTTCCGCCCTCCCTTGACATCTCTCTATGCCCTCCTTGAGGGGCGCGCCCCCCTGGTTGGGAACTCCTGCTCTACCTAGACATATCAAAACAGGGTTCCCCTAGGAAAACAAAACAATCCTAAATTCCTTGACAAAGGCATTCAGAGATTAAAAGTTTGTAACCCAACGTACATAAGCATATCACTGGTTGCCTGTGGTTAGACTTTACAAGGGATCAACAATATTTTATGAGAAAATTTCTAAAATAGTCGTTAATAAAATATAATATTAGTGTCCAAAATGCTTCAATACACTACTGAGTCGCTAAGACAGAACAATATAATATGTGTAAAATCATACTTTCAGGATTAGGTAGTTTCGAGCTCAATAGTCAATAAATTATGAAATTTGCCAAAAGAAAATCATTGAAAAAAGCTTGGCCTACGAATCAGTACTCTATTATTAATAAAGGTTACGCAATTTTGGTACATCACAACTTACACTACCACATCAGCAGGTACATCGATATTCAAGAATGTGGTTGCAAATAATAACCTGGCCAGTCTTCAATTGGAGATGCAAATAGTTGAGACTTCCCTATTTTCTATATGACCAATATGATGAAATGATACTTCTAACAACGAGGCAACAACGCTCTACCACATTCATGTATGAGATAATGAAGTCAGCAAATTTATACACTTTCATCAACAGACTAATGTATTTTTAAGGTCTGTTGGTTGGTGCTTGCCACCCTGAATAGAGAAACAATGTGCCTAGCCAAAAGTTCATTAGTGGTCACATGAAAAAAGTACGGGCACAAAACATGGAATTTGACCGCCGGTCAATTTTTAAGCACCATTTTATCATATTTTACCCCATCATAACATTATGTAATATGTGCATCTATCACTAATCACATAATCTTACACCAAGAATTTGTTTGAAATGCTTACTTGAATAAAGCAATAAATAAAAAAACATTTTTTCAACTAAGAAAAAAAATGTAAGATGTGATAGATTGATACAGGGTTTTTTTGGATCATATAGAAAAATTAACTTTATGATTTCTCAAAAACGAAATGTCAGACACAAAACAATCATATAGTGCCAAAAAAGTTCCAATGAAAAAGTTCCATTAGTTTCTTCATATTTCTTGAAATAATGTAAGAAACACTTCAGCCAAATTTTAGTTTTTCCGTTTTTTCTCAGTAAGCCATAAAATTTTTACAGGTTTCTCAATGGCATGTAAATATGCCCCAAAGAATGCAGCTTTTTCTTAATTTAACCTAAACTGAATCTCTCACAGGTATTGAGAACCCCACACAGGATGCTTATATTGTGGTTAATTGTGTCAAATGCTTTTTGCAAACCAATAAATATGCATAGTGATGGTACCTTTTCATCAATATTTTGGGTAATTTCGTCGACTCTACCTAATATCCCATCTGTTGTAGATTTACCTATTATATCACTATATTGATTTGAATTAAAAATTGTACATATATTGAGTTAATCATTTTACAAAGAAGTAATTTCTGAAAAACTCTAGTAAAATTTAATATAAAAGAGACAAATATTATTTGCTTTCTAATTTTTGCCAAGTTGAACATCAAATTCCATAGTGCCAACCTTGTTTTTCTTTCCATTATATTGAGAACATTTGTGAAATGCTTCACACTCAGGGGTAGGTTGCATGAATATGTATCAGGGAGAAATATATAAAGGGATACTGGTAGTCTTACTTTGACCTGCCAAGAATGGTGACAACTATACCACTATAATTCATTAAAATTGACTGGTGGTGAAATCCCTTATGTTTTGTACCTGGAACTTTGTTTCAAAGTAGTCAAACAGTCATGTAGTCACAATGAATGTTCTTGCTCTGGAATCCTCATGAAAATGGTTGCAGCTTAATCACCAAAAATTCAATCAACATAGCTCATTGACTTACTATTTTATAGAGTGTGTCCAAACTCGCAAATGAAACTGTTAATCTATTGAGAATGGTAAAACCACCAAACTCTAATTTATTCACAAGTTCTTCTATTTTGGTTAAATCAAATGGTACAGGTACCGCATCCTGTGGCTCCCTTGGTTCGCCTTTTTTCTTCTTCTTTTTAGGTTCCACATCACTGTCGTCTATAGACTGATTAATTGCTATGGTCTTATATCCATCTAAAAACGTCATTATTTTCTAAGTCTTGTTTAACCAGTACAAACTTTAAAAGTAAAATGCTGCTCTTACAGTTATAAAGTGCCTTTAAGTTCTTTTGGAAATTATCCTTGTTGAAGTAACTATCTTGAATACATAGATCATAAAATGGCCGGGAATTTAACATATTTGAATAACTGAGAAACTACATTTAATATCAAAAATTAAAATATCAACACTTTTTTAGGTTAAACGCTGACAGCTGCGACAGTTAACCACAAAAATAGATACCCTTTTTCACGAGTATCCATCACGCTTTGACGTCTACTGACTTGAACAGCAGGGCGGCGTTCGTAAATTATTAATCAAATCCAAGCGAATAACCAATATTTCTGTGTTATGTGCTGCGGTTATAATATGGTTCAAGATGACACACGGGTTGATGACGTCAGTTACACGAATCGCTTGAACGCGTTGGCTTTAACTGCGGTTTTGTTGCAAGTTGTTTATTTTAGAAAAGCGCGTATATAATCTGTGATTATTTTTATTATCACTTAATAATCGGTGCTTTTTCGTCTTCAACTGTATATGGAAAGTTTAAATAAGAAACCTTTCATAATATTCATAGGAGAAATGTTTTTTTCAGTTTTTTTTTTAATGATGGAACCATGGCCTTGTAGCTATGATAACTTTCAATTCTATAAATTTTTCCACATTTATTGATTCAGCAGAAATGATGAAAAAAAAAATTAGCAAAACCGAATACAGGTGGATATCATCTAGTGAGTTTATATGACCATATTTTAATATTCTTGTGGTATATGGCTACACAGGATACTTTGTTAAGCATAGAGGAACTACATTTAAAGTGTCCCCAACAACCGTAATGAGTATAACTAATAAGGTGCTCCACTTTGTGGTAAAAGTGAAGTCAGCCTGTATCATTTTTCTGAAAAATGAAGCTGAAGTACAAGAACAATATTCAATACCCGGCAAAATTCTAACTTGTCACATTTCAAATAATAACCAGAAATATAAAACTACTCTTGAGTTGGGTAAATACCACAATTTTGCGGTGATAACTATGACATATAACAGCTGCTTCGTGACGTCACGGATCTTATAACCAAACTGACAACTACATTCGCTTGAACGGATTGGTAAATACCAACCCAAAATGGTAAATACCATTTCCATTTGGTTATCCGCTTGAATTTGATCATTGTTACAGAGTGTGTACTTTCCAAAAGGAACGTCAAAAGTGTGCTTTTCTCCCCGAGCTCAAAACCTTGGGAACAAGAGTTGTCACTTGTCAATCTCATGGTTCATTGCTTGTTTATTTTATTTGGTTAGCAAAAATTGGCAGAATATATATTTGGTCGCACAAAACGTGGTTAGAAATTAGTTGGCTGTCATCAAGTGTCAGTACATGACTCTGTAATAATTTAGGCGTTCTAAAAATAAAGTTTCACAGTATTCCAGAGTAAAATTTCATCTGTCTATCTACATTCCATTACTGTGAACGATGTTACATTGCCAAGTAGTGGTGTTGAAAAAGTAATCATACGATACTCGAGTACTCGTTACTCATAGATACCCGAAGTAACGAGTACCAATCCGAGCACGAAATGATTACTTGATTACTTTGATTACTCTGTTTTCCGTATCCGTTCGGTGATCGGCTACCGGTACCCGTACAATCGGTTGAGTGGCAACGCCAGTTTCACTGTAGCACTGCCGCTCATGCATCAGGGTTGCCAAACATCCCACAATCGGGTGGAAGCTCCAGATTTAAAAACAGTCATCAAATTCTATGCCCGCCAATAAAAAAAATGTACCTATTTATACCGTGACTCAAATTCGCTCTTATTGTTGTCATTTTCGCCACCTTAAAAGGGATAAGGAATCGATTGGATTGGAGCAAAGGTCGGCACCGATGGTCGGCACGTCGGCAGTATTAAGATTTATGAGTCGGAAAGGAATCAAGGATAGATAAAACAAAACCGGCATGAGATTCTTTTTCTGAATCTTTTTTTTATCCCGTGTTACCGAATTTTTATTTTTTAATCGTGAACAAATACAAGGTAAGGCATTGTTTATTAGATTTGGCATACAGTTATACTTTTTTCTATGACATTAGAAACAATGTGGGTTTTTTAAACATTTTATTTTGTTTTAGGTTTGGCTCCATTTTACGACTCTTTCTATGGGAAATGCTAAGTGCAATATAATGTGGCTCCAAATATTCTTATAGAGGAGGATCAACTTCAAATCTTAAAAAGCACCTACAATTGAAACATCACACTTTTTTAACGCAACCTAAAACATTTCCAAAAACATAATCAAATCATGCAAGTACTGAAGGTAAGACTAGTCTATGATCTTCATTACGTATATTATCATTTTATTATAGTCCACATATGGGCAATTATTATTTAAAGATGTTTTAACATCATGTAGGCAAAGTTTGATTTTATTTTTCTCAAATATGTGAGAGAAGTACTATGCCTAAATTTTCAAATTGAAGATAAAAGTGTTTTTGGACTTTGCTGTATTCTCTGTTGGTTTCTCAGATTCTTGAAGTTTGTACACTAACAATCTGTACTATTTATTGAAGCTAAATCAAACTTACTTGTATTGTAGGTCTATGATAGTTAATGCTGTTTACTTCTCATGTGAAAGAATATTTATTAAAGTTGTATAGATTTTTGTTTAATTTTACAAAAGTAATAAGGAAGAAGCCTTGCCTACCATATCACTGCTAAGGACAAATAGCCAAACCATTTCAAAAAGGAAAGTTAGCTATAAGATATTTATGCATTGTCGCTATATCAGTACCGTCTGAAAGAATTTTTTCTATAGCTGGACAATTAATTTCGGAGAGAAGAAATAGGTTGAAGGGAGAGAATGTAGCAAAAATCCTGTTTTTACATTATAAACACGGCCTATGAGTTTTTTGTAGACTCTTTTAGTCATTGGTTTATTTATTATATTTATTTATTATTATTGGACTCACCTTCATTAAATAAAAAAATATAGTCATGTAGCTAATAATAGTGTAGTTTAATAATGTTTCAGTTGGATGAATCATTCCCAATTTTCCAGCCACTACCTCCTAATGAGGATTTAGTTTGTAATTGCGTTTGTGCTACATTCTAAATACTGAAAACCAAATACCACTAACGTCGTAATGTGTACGAGAGAAAAGCGCGGGAAGCGTGCAATACGTGTGCTAAGAGATAGGAGCACCGCGTTGCCTAGCATCCCAAGTATAGGCTCACTGATGCCATCGGCGCACTCTTTCTAACAGATATTTCACGCTTTTCGCGCTTCTCTCGTACAAATTACGATGTCAGCCAAATTTGAACCTCACCGTATGTGTTGTTTATGAGTTTTTATTGTTTGTTTCATTATATATTTTGATATTTTTTAAGCAAACCTGTGTCGTTTTGTTTTTAAGAAAATATATTTTTTTGTTACATTCTATCTATGTGTTGTTTCTGTTTTTTATTTTCATTGCATCATTTATTCCGTTGTTTTATTGAGAAAGCCTCTTTGGTTGTGGAATTAAGACTAAATATCTTCTATTTTCTTACAAAATATCGATGTTACTTTTTATCCAATAATAAAAAAAATTTCAATTTGACCATGAATAGTATGTATAGACTAAGCTCCATATGGATTTTTTTATACATGCATAATTTAAATGCTTCGAAAAGTTATTTGCCATTCCGTATTTGCTTTTCTAGTAAAAGGCATGTTTTTAAGCAGTTTTAGTAAATACAAAGTATTTTCAGTTTTTAGGTTTTCTTTTTCCTTACAAGATAATATTATAGTTAGTTCCATTGAAGTTGCTCAAATCCGACATTAATTAATTACGACGCATGCTGTCAAATCGTTATACTCGGAGTAATCAAAGTAACGAATACAATAAATGATTACTTTGTAGGAGAGTAACGATTAGTAACGAGTACTCGAAAGTAACGAGAATCAACAACACTATTGCCAAGTGATTCACAAACGCATCCTGATCAGCAAGTGATTAGTGATATTTTTGTGTTGCTGCGACGTAGGCAATAATGAATCTGAAGTATTCATCACGCTTTGACGTCTACTGAAGCGAACAGCTGATCACGGTAGAATGACAGCTGATGGTCTAGGTCACATTCTAAGAGAACCTTTAAAAAAATCGATTCCTATTAGCTGATTTTTTCGGAGGGACATACATGAAGTTTAAATGAACCCACTTTGGTCGTATGAATTTCAAATGTATTTTTTTCAGCAAATGAGTGAAAAAGCGCGTGCACAGTATATACCAATTGATAAATGGTGTAAACAATCGATTTCATCTATCAATAGGACAATATCACCAAGTTGGAAAATACCCCATTCGCTGCTCACAGGCTTGTTAAAACGGAAAATGATTCTAACTACATGGGCATAAAGCTCTACAATAAATTTACCTGAGCGTATTAAAGAATTAAATACCTATTTATACAAGCAAAAAATAAAAAAAATGCTTATTAAAAAAGGGTATGGTACCATTAATGAATTTCTCTGCGACACCAAAAATTTTTGGACAATGCTTGTTATGTATATGGTGTTATCTTGTTACACCTATCTGTTCAATCTGTTGAAGTCTGTGTTATTATTTAGTGTTGGTTCCTTTAATTTCTGCCATGTTTGTATCTATATTATATATAACGTTTATTTTGTGAAATAATCAGAATTTGAACTGTGTATTTGCATATAACTTTCCTTTTTTATTTTTTACATTTGACGTATTCTATGTCATTGAAAAATTATAACTTGAATAAAGCTTATTATTATTATTATATTATTATTGTGATGATTGTTTACGACAAGACTTTATGAAACAAAAACGCTGAAGCCCAACAAATCAGTGAAAAACGTTTACAGTTAAAAGAACACACTAAAACAACGGAGAAAAATATTAGAATTCTAAATGCAAATGCAGGAGACGCAAAATGTAAACAACAGCTGTCCCTTTAACATTAATATGTGGGTTACGAAACTGTCGAAGATGATGTTTGCAATATGGTTAAGTTGATTCCAATAAATACAATACATTGTATGTGCAAGTACAAGCAAAACAAAAGACTGATAGTGTTTTTGTTTCAAGCAAATTTGCTTTTTTATGCGTGTATATTTATTAAAAAAATCAGCCTCATAATTTAATTTACAGACCTAGAAGCTACTACTGTAATATCACATTGTAATGAAATTCACACTGTTATGACGTCATATAACAATATTTATGTTTGGTACTAGTTTAAATATAAAATTTTGTGTGACTTAATAGGTATATCGATTTGATAGTATTATTGTAGTAGGTATAATATTCCGTTGTAATAACAATAATTCATATTGTTATAACGACATTGCTTGATAGATTGTAGATTACAAAAAGCATATGTCTGACAATTATTGTTAGGTATTATAAAA